ACCGAATCCAATTTCGATTCAAGTTTTTTTTTTGGAAAAAGTTATTCTGTTTTCTTTATTATTATTCAGAACAATATTTATTTATCTATATTTCGAGAATATATTGGAAATTATAAAGGCAATATGACAATTCTACGACCCAAAACTACTCTCCTTAAACTCGCTTCCTCGTATCATTTTTGATAGATGTAACTATTTACTGTTTTACTCTATTATAAAGAATTTAGTTAATAACTTTATGAATATCTTTATTGTACAGTAACTTACAATGATGTTACAGCTATATGACTCTTAACATATTACAACTACATACTATTTCCTACTACAACATTAATCACTAAATTGTTTCAAATCACAGTCTATAACCTATTTGACAAGCTATTATTTATTACATTGTTGTACTTAATAAAGTGAAACAAAGCCCAACTCAGTATTAAAAAGCTACTATTGTAAGGCCATACAAATTTAATGTCATGGTTTATATGACATGAGACTTTTAAATAAACGTGGCCGGCTGACTTTTTTTAAAAAAAATTTTACAAGATTTTTTTTTAATATAAGACTTTTAAATGAATTTGGCCTTCCGATATTTTATAAAAAAATTTCACAAGATTTTTTTTAAAAGTCCACCTAGCTATTAATCATTGGAAGACATTAATTTGAAATGCAAATTTTCCGAAGTGCATAATTTCATAATTTTACAAAACACCTATGGAATTATTCGAAAAATATCAGTAAATTGCTTAAAAATTAAAGGATATTTTTCAGATAACTTAATGGGTATTTTCAGATAATTCTATGGGATTTTTGTATTTCTGAAAAATTTTCCAGATGGGACCCTTATGACGTAATTGATCTAAAATTTATACCCTAATTTTAAATTAGGCCCAATCCTGCTCAATCTGGGCCCAATACAAATTTTTGGAGCTAAATTCAATCTGATGGTTGGGATTAGATTACAATCTGAATCCAATCCGATTTATATTTTTGGAACACTAACTATGACCCTAATTCAGATAGTTCTAGTGACAATGAGTGGTATTTATATCTGGACTTTAGCACATCAAAAGTTAAGACAGAAAGTTTTGACTCTGACACAGATGATGTTATTGATGAAGAGAATCTGAGAGCAAAAATAAGGAATGAAAAAATAAGCTCTCTAATATTAACTGTTGTTATAATAAAACTGGGAATACTTACCTAAGAGAGAACAATGTTCAACTGAACCCCTGGAGAGTATCAAGTGCTCTTGCTATTGAATTCTCTATTAGTAACCTCTTTAACTATTATTACAAAGATCATCAGAATCCTTACCAGATCAGAAGTTTGGAGTCTAAGTAGCATTTTCAACTCCAGAAAGTAATCTTGATCTTTTTATTTTAGAAAAAAGACCAATAGGTCAGACTAACCTAGTGAAACATTATTGTCTGGAGTGAAGCGGAAGATCTATACTTCTACATCCTTTGATAACTAAAATTTCTTTTTTGATGCATTTATATTAAAAATATCAAAAAAGTAATTTTGGTATTTTTCGTTTGCCACTTTTGTTTTTATATAGTAAAGTCAAAATTTTACTAGGTAAATCGATTTTGTCTATTAAGTAAAAATTGTTCAGAAGACCAAGATACACATATCTTGAAATTATT